CTTTCTAAGTCTCATGTAATGAATTCAAGAAATTCGAAATAAACGAGCCTACATTACTTCAGAAATGAATCAGCAAACCCACTGGTCATTTCAAAATCCATGCTGAGTTTCGTCCACGAAGCAGAACAAAGTAAAAAATTAGAGTAGAATCATGAATATTTAAAAAAGCGAGCATAAAACAAGTAGAATCATGAGCACAATTGAGCAGAATTGGCGGCGGAACTGGAACAGCATCTCACAGTACTTATCGGGGCACTTGCGATTTCTGCGATTCGCGCGAGTAGCGCGAAGAATCGCGGACTCTGACACCTGCTTTGGCAGATTTTTCTGAGAATAGGTAGCTTTGTCACTGAATTTTCCAAGCTGCACCGGAAATTATGTTCAGAGAACCTGCTGAGAATGCTCTCAGAGACTATGTGAAGATAGTGAAATTCAACGACCTCAATTTGTGGAACATCAAAGTGTCATCTCAAAAAGCCCACACTCATCTCTACAAAATCATTCGAAAATTCCGGGTGAGTGTCGCCCAACCTGATCCACTTCTGCGCTCAAATCTGTTTATTTGTTGTCCAAATGGAGTTAAATAACTTTGTCTCAGGAAGCAGTCGGTGCTCAAGTTCAACCAATTTTTGACAAATTGGTCCAGATGGACAGCGCAAGCGTTGCTGTCCTTCCCGACTTGTCAGAGGTGAAGGCTGATGGTCGAGGACGGAGAGCAGTGGAGCTTGCTAATACCATTATGGCGAAGGGTTCGTGTTTCTTCACCTTCGTGGTGGAAAACTTCTTAAGAGTTGGGATTACAGCGGCAGCCGTCTGTGACATCACTGCCGCCGTGGAACTCGCTGATCAAACGAAGTGTTGCGATGAAGCAATTCGCGTTCTCATCAACTATCAGGGAGAGGATGAGGAAAAGGTGAGGTTAATCGAAACATTGAGAAGCGTGCTCTGAAATGTCTTTTTACAGGAGAAACAACAGGGTTACGCTCGAAATTCCCGGCAACGTGCGGTTGCAATGGTTATCAAAGAGGCACAAAGTATAGGCCTGAATGCCCGCAAAGCGCAAGCCCTTGACCAGGAAACGGTGACTAGAAGTTCTTTGACTGAAGTGAAAAGACATCGTGCGAATGAGGTAAATTTCTTATCCTATCATTATTTTACTTTCCGAGTTCTTTTGGTGTTTCAGACATCTGTCCACAAATGCGCTGGTGGGCGAAATGTCTGCATTCGTAAGGCCGTAGCACCCAATGATCAACTGGGTGTAGCCACAAGAAAGCACTTAGTTGGAGTTATCGGTAGTTTTAAAAAAAGAATAAAACTATTCAGAAGTAACTAATCAGAAGAAACATTATTCAAACAGAGGCAACGTTCAGATTACGGTATGGCATGGATCTTGAAATGCCATAGAAAACTGGCTGACTGGGAGGAGCTCTGTAATGTGCTTACTCGGAAAACTCGTGCCTTTGAGCGCTTGGAGTCAAATATGGAGGTATTTGAATAGATTTTGTTTTTCTCATTTTGCTCTGATCTGCCATATCATTGCACTTATCCCCCTGTGAAAGAAACAAAATAGCGAACTCAAGGTATTGGGTTAATATCAAAACGCTGTCTGTCTGTGTGTTACGGTGTTTGTCTGTCACCAAATTCGCTATCACTTGAAGACACGTGACGAGTCCGAATTGAGTGGGATGTGTGAAGCATGGGTCAAGATGTACGGAACACTTCCTGTCTGGGCGGAGCTCCGCCTACAGTGGGCGGGCACTCTCCGAATTGGGCGGTGCCGACGAAAAAATTGAAGGTTTGGTTATATAACGGCACCAAGGAGTGGGAAAAAAATAAGTGAAGGTGCGTACGAGTTTGCTTAGTCAAATTAAGGAGACCGCCCCGTGACAGGCGAGGGAAGGGAGGTCAAGTGTCCCTGGGGCTGGGGTGTGCACCAAAATGGGTGGAGTTTGCTGGAATGCGTTATAAAACTGTTGATGGTGGTGGAAGTGCGTTGAGAGATTATCCAAATCATACCTCCGAGGATCCTTCCACCAATGACGCCGAATTACGTCATCGGACCCCTCCGTTATCCAGCCATCACCCCCTCTGCTCTAATTACGGCAGTATTCCGATGTATCGCGGTGGTCTGAATGGGCACCAGTTTCTTTAAATTCGAAATCACTCCAGAAAATTGGCGGAACCAGCAATCCTCATACCATTTCCACTTTTTTCAGTATCAAGATGTACCAGATTATTTTCAAGCTTTCTAGAAAATTTTCCCTGTGGTAGGGAAATGAGTGATTAACCACAATTCTCTACCTTCCCACGTGGTTTCAGGCTGGATGGTTTGTCGACTATGAGCGATTGAAGTCGCAGTGGGAATTTATTCATACGCGAACAGAAGAAGTGGTTCGACATACAGAAGCAATGTCGAAAAGGTTATCACGGGTGCCCGAGCGTGATTGTCCTGAAGAAGGTAGCGATAAAGCGAATTTTTCGTTCATATTTTGAGTTCAATTCCTATTATACCTGTTTACCTGGACGGAATTGTCGATATTCTATATTAAGAAGTTTCTGATTGGGAACATCCATTATCTCGCCTTCATTCGCAAAGCCCTGAGCTGGAGGGCCTCCAGAAGCTTGTGAATGAGGCTCATTCGCTCGCCAAGAAGATGCACCAAACGGCAAACCAATTGCTAGCTGAGTCTGAGATGGAAATTTGCGAAAAGTTAGTGCTTCGTTCGTTTGCTTATTATTTTACAATGCTTTCACCTGGTACTCCTGAGCGATTATGCTCCCCCATGACTTCTATTTTCCAATTTTTTATTCCATTTTTTTGACAACGATGAGGCTGTTTTGTACTTATAATCTATCGAGCCAATTTGTTGTAGGTTAACAGTGACCCGCTCACTCGAACATCTTTCTTCGGATGGAACCGAGCTAAAAGTTGTTCTGGAACAGCTGAACAAATGGTTTGAGTTCGAATGCTGTCGTGCTAATGAGGCTCTGAACGATGTACTACCGAAATTGACGGTGAGTATCTTTCCAGCAGCATGAGGAAAGCGCGACCGCTTTGCACGTAAAGAATTGTTTGATATTGTTGGCAATTGAGCAAGAATTTCAGGTGGATTGCGTTGAGATTACAACAACTGCTGTTTCCACAGATAATGTCCTTTTATTCATTCAAAACCTATACAAGTCAGTTGTCGAAAGTACAAACACGGGCGAAATGCGGTTGATGGATAGATTCGATTTTGCACTAAATGCAATGACGGGTTCTGCTTACGAAAAGGTATGCTTAATGTTTTGTTCGTTGTCTGATTTTCTGGTGTCCTCAAACATCTGGATGGCCTTTCTCGATGGGCGTCACAAACACTTTCTGATGCGTGCGTAGGCATTGTGCCAGACACCCTAAAGGAGATTACGCCATTGTTGCATGTCGTCACTCAGTTATTCTCTGCGATGAATTGTCTCGTATCGTCCTCACTTCAAGCATTTGCTTCTCTCTACTACGCTCTTCTATCAATGAGCATGCAGCTCTTTGAGAAGGTTAGTCTTGCTCTTGCTCAACTTTCGTCTCATTTATGTCCATTACGGTTAAATGGTTGCCAGCACGCAATCTTTGTTTTTTCGTTGGCTAAATGCTAAAAGATTTCTCAGGTTTTGATAAGCTGCAACGGAGATGGTATAGTAGTAGTGAGTGGCACGCACCAAGCTCAGCGAAGTGAAATGCTAGACTTAGAAAATAAGTGAAATTAGACGTCATCGGAATGTACTGGGTCTTCTAGGGCTAGCCGAGGAGGGGCCAGGAATTCCGCGGAACATGAAAGTGGCTCACGCACCTTTGAGTCTCCCCTCTCCCACCTGAAGCTTAGTCCCGTTTTCAACAAGGAATACTTTTTGCGCGGTTTTGAATGCCACAATGCCCCGTATCTTGCGATAGCGCCTAAGATTGGGTTAGTGATTGTGGTGTAGAAGGATTTTCAAGTGGTCCTAATCCTGCCGAGGCCAACCAAACTTTTTATCCATCAGGGATCAATTAATTGGAATGTTGCCCGTCTGGGGTGATTGCACAAACTTGTACATCGACTGAGGGTGAATATCGGTCGAGGATTCCTCAACGGCACGTCGAGGATTTTCGCCTGATCAGTTACGTTCTCCCGCGCGGACATTCACACTCGCCATGCGCGAGCCGTCTGTGCTCTCCGCGCGTACGTTCACTCTCGCACAGTACAGAGCCATGGTCGAGGATTTCTCGACCGTTATTCACCCTGCATCGATTGCCTCCAAATCCCTGTACATATGAGCCCTTAAATGCCTTCAGGTTTTTAAGGACTAGAGTGCGTGGCGCATCCCAATCATCGAGATCATCACCATATCCCTTACTTCCTCCAGTGAACCGGCATAATTTTGAAGCAAATGTTATTCAAGCTTCGCTGTTTTAGGGATATATCAATCCGATACCTAAGGCAGAAAAACAAGAATCAGGTCAAGGCAGTACAGATGAAGCCGGTGAAGGTATCTTTCTTTAGATTTTGAAAGTTTCCTATTTTTGGACGCGAAATCTAGGAGTTCCTGGTTTCCAGGTGGTGGAATGGGTGAAGGTGAAGCGAAGAGCGATGCCAAAGATGTTACCGATGAAATGGAAGAAAGTGGTCAGATTGAAGGTCTCCAAGATGACGAGTGTGAACCGCCGACTGGTGACGCAGGTCAAAACGAGAAGCCTATCGAAATGGAAGAGGTAGGTATTAGAAACATTGTAGTACTCCCCGGTGATCGCCAAAAGGCAAATATTAATCTAAGAGCTATTCAAAAAAATTTGCCGATGAATCAGTTAAGAGTACAAATATTATTTGAGAAGAATTAACATTCAGGACTTTCCCGAAGATATCCAGGACATTGATCGCAACGAACCTGGAGATGATAATGAAAAGTCAGGGGATGAGAGCGAAGAAGAGCCGGAACCCGAAGATCAAATGGGAGATGTAAGTGATTCGAATGTTACCCGTAACTTCCTTTGAGCTTAACAGCGTTACCATGTGCATTGATTGCCAGTCGCCGAAGCGCTTCAGTTGTTAGCGAGGTTCGTTTAGGTTGACGAAGCAGACGATCAACAACTCGATCCGAAACTTTGGGATGAGGAAGAAAAAGATTCATCCCCGAAAGGAACTGATGAGGACAACGCGCAGGTTTGTTCATACTCGCATTTTGGCTAGCAGTACTACCATTACAATTTGGTTTTTAGCTGCGACACACATACGCGATGAACTGGCTGCAAAAGAGGATGACACAGTGGCTGCGGACGAGAAGTCAGGTGAAAATGAAAAGAGGAAGAGTCAAATGAACAGGAAGCGGATGACATGGAGAATGTTGATGAGAGAGAGCGAGACGATGTGGAGATGGACACGAAAGGAGGACCCGTAAGTTTCAGATAAGTTGCAAGAAGGTATTCGATTAGGCGCCAGTAACTATAATTACGTTAGTTGGGTTGTGCAATGAGAGTCCTACAATTTTTTCCATTTGGATAGTATCTATTGATATACTGCAGAATTTTATCGTTTCACGTCCGCCCTATTGGCACTAAGAAGGGAATAGGATCGGAGCCAGGGTCAATCGTCCATTGGCATAAGTACCAACGAGAAGGGTTTATTTGCGATTTGGGGGATCCCATTGAAGACTGGCATAGGTCGAAAGGGGAGATCGTAATTATGAGTGTTGGGGGATCCTTTTTGACGGTTTTTTTGACAATTTCGAGGAATCTATGAAAGATACGTAAAATAAAGAGAACATTGGAAAATTTGCCGTCTCTTGAAACATAACAGCCATAATGGAGAGGGCGGTGGTGGTCAGGAGTGGTAAGGAGGTCGTCATGGTACCGTCAGGAGCTGATGGTGGTACTGGGAATGAAATATCAATGCCCTCTTCTCCGAGGTAGGAGGTCGTAAAAATTGTGAAGTACCACCACGAGGGTTGACCCTTCGGCAAGATTGATTGATCGTGAAATGAGAATGCTACTTTTCAACTCTTGAGTATGCAGTGAGGTGCAGCGTGTTGGTCGTACCCTCACTGTTCCATACACCCCAAGGCCTGTAATGAATGTTGGGTAAGGGGAATTGGGTCCTCGACCCGTGCTGCGAATGTTGGCCAACGTCGGAGCCCCAGCAGGGTTCGTCGCAAACCGCGCAGCCCCCATTGACCGGTCCTTTGAGACAATTCTTACCAATCCATCCGCATGAATCGCATTTATACAATCTGAAAAGCACAATTAACGAGCGGAAAACATCCAAGCACCCAGTTCCTATCGAAGGGGAATTTTCACCTTCTTCGATCACGCCCTTTACCCCCGCTTTCATCTTTCCTTCCTTGTTAACCGATCTGCTGCAACTTGGAATGAAACGGGAAATGAGATGGAAACACCGAATCCAGTCTGGTTGGAATGTTTCCAAAAACCTTGAGTATCTTTTGCAACTGGGCAGTAACCCTCTCACTCATTGAACGAGCCTTTTCTTCTGTGTTAACCATCAGTGGAAAAAGGAGGCAGAAACGCAGTCAAGGCAAAGATGGAGGAAAATATGGGTGGGTTTGACAATTCTGCACCGTGGAGTAATGAAAGAATAGGACCAATCACAAAGCTGAGCGACACGGCGAAGGAAGCCGCCGAGAAGAACGTTCTGTGGCTCAAAAGGATGGACGAGAATGAACGGGCGCGAACGACAACTGTGTGAATTTCATACGGTCATGTTAGCTGAAGACGACGAGATCATCCCATTTGAATAAGAATTGAATTCGTAGGAAGCTCTTAAATTCGAAGGATACTTATAGAAGTACGGGACAATGACTAGGGGAGACGGATATGGGAACGATGTTTTGATATCTTTTCTTTTAGGAGACTTAAGATGAGAATTCATGAGATCATATTCCTCGTGCTAAGTGTGTTTACATATTGGAAAAGGAAGGGAATGAGGATGTGAGCTGCTAATTTTTTTTGATATTTTCTGGAAAACCGTTCTCAGATGCGGTGAAAGATATTATTTGATATGTCCATTGATTTCTTAATTCAGGAAGTGATGGAGGAGGCAGATGCAGTAAAGAACCCACCTAACGACGAAGAAACACCGAGTGAGACGGATAATGTGGAAGCAGTTGAACAGGGAACAGGCGGTGAGCAAGGAATAGAAGAGGAGAAGGAACAGATTGGAGGAGCAAAGGAGGACGAGAATAAAGAAAACGAAGACGAGGGGAAGGGTGAAAGGTATGAAGAGTTTTAATATGTAGAGTTTCAATGAGTTTCTATGATGCTTCTTTTCTTAAGCAAAAGTGATGATCGCGGTGAAGCAGGCAAAGGCTCAACGGCCAAGAATAACGAAGAGGAGAAGGAGAAAGAGGAAGATCAGCAAGATACTGCTGAAGAGGAGAATGACGCCGAGAGGCAACGAGAGCTGGCGGAGGGGAACGAAAACGTCGAGGATAAAGAAGAAGGCGATGGTGAGCAGGACGACACAGCGACTCAAATGCAAGATGCTCCAGCTGCTGAGCGACAGGTCAGTGCTAGATTTCAATTTGCTCAGAGAATTTCGTTGATTCTGTGCTGCAGTTGTTTACAAGTTGTGAATGGTGCCCTTTGGCCTTCTCCCCTCTTCATGCGTTTACTTATCCTTCCCTTTCACAGTTCGTCCTGCACACAAATCAGGATTTTTGTCCAGTTTCCGTTTTGATTTCTCACTCTGTTTCGACCAACATTCGAAATTGAGGTAAAGTCGGTCGAGCAAAAATGCTTCGCTATTTATTTTGTAATCTCAATCCTTCAAAATCGCGCCATCTAAGGAAACTATCGAGCTATTTTATAAGTATTGAGTCATGTCAGGCCACACGCAGTGAATAGCCAGAACCTCCCTA